TGTATTTTAGTCTCATTTCAGGAAAGGGGATATAGGAGATGGTATAAATGAAACAAACTTTTAAAAAGTTCTTTCAAGCCTAATATTTTCATGTCCTTCTTTCTGTCTTTCCAAGATTTTTATTTCTGTTTGTGATAGATTGTCCAGACATACCACTGTTTTCCTTTCTTTCTTTCTTTCTTTCTTTCTTTCTTTCTTTCTTTCTTTCTTTCTTTCTTTCTTTCTTTCTTTCTTTCTTTCTTTCTTTTTTTTTTTGGATTTTTGAGACAGGGTTTCCCTGTAGTTTTTGGTACCTGTCCTGGAACTAGCTCTTGTAGACCAGGCTGGCCTCAAACTCAGAGATCTACCTGCCTCTGCTTCCCAAGTGTTTGGATTAAAAGTGTGTGCCACCACTGCCAGGCATACTGCTGTTTTTTTTTTTTTTTATGGGACGTGCCTTTTTTTCCTCTATGGATGTGTTTCCTTCTATACTGTATGTGTGTCTTCCCTGACATAAGTGACTTCTTCACCTGAAATTAGTGAAGTAAATAAAACAAAAATGGAAAAATACTAGAGGAAATTCAATTTCTTTTTAACATGTGATGTATAGATTGAGACAGAGTCCAGCAGCTTAAGAGAATGGTCAGTTAGTAAAGTGCTTATCACACATGCCTAAGGACCTGATTTTAGATTACCAACACACACATAAAAAAAAATAACTGGATATTATGGTGTACCTGTAATCTTTGCTCTGGTATGGGGAGGATACATACAGTGTAACATGAGGACCTGCTTGTCGCCCCAGGTGTCCAGCTAGCTTAGCCCCAAAATAATTACACAGAAAGTCTGTATTAATGATAAACTGGCCCATTAGCTCAGGCTTCTTATTAGCTCTTGTAGCTTATATTAACCCATTATTCTTATCTACTTTAGCCACATGGCTCAGTACCTTTTTCAGTGGGGTAGGTCACATCCTGCTTCTTTGGTGGTCTTGGCAGGACTGGGAGGAATGGGCTTCCTCCTTCCTAGAATTCTCCTGTTCTCATCGCCCCACCTATACTTCCTGCCTGGTCAATCAGCGTTAATTTAAAACATGATTGACAGAATACAGACAATTCTCCCACACCAATACAGGAGGATCATGGGGCTTTCTGGATATTCAGTGTAGCCAAATTGGTGAGCTCCAATTTGATTGAGAAACTTTTCGAGGATAACACCAGACATGAACCCCAGGCCTTTACAACACACACACATATGTACACACACGCACACACACGTACACACTCCAGAGAGAGCTAAGCTGATATTACATATTTTATAGCAAAGCCAGTTCTGTTGCTTAAAGCTCTAAATTAAGTGAAAACAGTAAATTTTTTTAAGAAAACATAAATCTTATCACCTTTTACTATCCCAAAGTGGTATACAGCCTTAGATTAAGGATAAATAAGTGACAATATAAGCTGTTATCAAATCAAGAGGGTCTGTCTATTGTATATTTGGGTGGACTTCAGAGTATGTATGGTGACAGAAGATACAAAATAATCCTACACTAGTTCAGAATTACGTACAATAAAGGGTTATTTATTTAGGGGAGAGGCACAGGTCACTGTCTTAGATCACAGTCTTCTGCACAAAAAGGGAACAGGAACAGAGTCTAACAGCTGGAAGCAAGAGAGAGAGAATGCAGGCTTACAGCTGCATTTATAGTATAAGAGACCACACCCAAGTGGGCTGGTATTTTAAAGGCTATTGGCTGAAGGAGCTCCCACAGCATATGTATCTGCCTTCGCTCTTCTAGACTAATTAGTATGAGTCAAAACATCTTGATGCTGTTAGCCAAGCTGTGGATATGAACCATCTAACCATTTGTTGAATACAGACTGCAGCTGTTATCCTGTTGGAAATGAATATCCCAGATGCTCATATTAAAAGCACATATCAGTGGCACATAGACCAGTGGCATTGGCCTGGCCTTAATCAGTAGTACAGACCACATACATCAACATGACCTCAGGCAGTGTGGTGCTGCTGTCTATAAGAATATGTTGATGATCATGGTCCATGTTACCACCGAAGGCCATGTTGGAATCTTTGCTCTGTGCAGACACCATAGACCATATTGGTGTCCTTGTTCCATGCTGCCACCAGAGGCCATGTGGAAGTTTGTGATCCCTGCTGCCTTGGCTTTTATGGGCAAGAAACATTCTTTTGCAGTAGTATCAAAGACTATAAGCTCATAATTGAAAATAATAGACAATGAAGGCTTTTGTGGCAACCACCCCCCAAAAAAGATAAAGAAACAATCTAGACAGGAATACATTGAAAAGAATCCTTAAAATATGTGATAAAGCTGCTGAAGTATAACTTGGCACAGTTGAGGGCTTCTGGCTGAGGTGTGGTGGGGAAGGATTAAGTTATCTTTAAAGGGTTGGCCACTGGGAGCTTGGCCATGCTCCAACGAGTATATGGGATGTGGTGTATTTTTTGTGGGGGGGGGCACTAAGTAGGGGGGTGGAACTTAGAGAAATGGAACTCAAATGTTATCAGGGTGCATTGAATAAAATTCCTAAATAACCAATAAAAATATTCTGCTGGGGAAAAAATTTCATCCCATTTAAAATGTGGACTTTTTCTTCCATGGCTTCACTATTATTTTCAACTCTTGCTTTGGTATTTGCTCATTCATAGTATTAGGGATTTAAGGATTACTTGAAATTAGGCCAAGCTGATAGAAAAATAAATCTATGTATTACATATTCAAAAGAAAAGGATTTTTAAAGTTCTGGAGTTACTTTTGTGTTGACTTGGTATCATGAAGACTGAACTTGTCTTTTATAAAGTTATGGGTGAGGTGAAAAGTAAACAGATTTAATTACATAATATTTGGGGGAGCAATTTTGTATTTTTTACTTCCAATTTAAAGGGAGTAGTTTGAGTTGGAGAGCATTTTGATTGAAACATCAGATATCTTAAGTTGTCTGGGGCAAATAACACCACGGAGAACCTTTAACTATGTCAGTGTTCTCTTTCTGAGTGTGTAGGTGACAGACTACAAAGTATTATCTCATGTCTAACTTGTTTTGTTCAAGAAAATACATATAATTGTCTTACAGTGGCATTTACTTAGGAATGATGCAATTTCTCTGAAACTAAAATAATACTAGGTGAAAGCACTTGTTTAAATGTTCTCTCTATTGAACTACTATAACATGAAAGCCTTTTGCTCATTTATTTGTATGCCTGTAAATGAAGTCATGAATCTGTTTGGTGGAAAAGCTTTTATATTAATTAAAGAAACTTTCTGAGAGTGGTGGCACATGTCTATAACCCCAATATTAAAGAGTTTGGGATAAGTTTAGTGCTCTTTGAGACCAGCTTGGCCTACATAACAAAAACTTTTCTCAAACAAACAGAAAAAAAAATATCTGGGGAGATGACTCCATGGATAGAACATTTGCCTTGCCAGCTTAAGAACATAGGTTAATTAATGTCCATTATCCACATATGTCTCTGTATAATAGCCCACATCTATAATCACAGCTACGTGAGAGGCAGAAACTGAGAAATCCCAAGAAGCTCCAAGGGCCTGCTAGGCTGGCATACACAACAAATAACAGACCCTATCTCAAAAAAGGTGAAAGGTGAGGCAGACACATGAGGATGTCCTCTGACCTCCACACATGTACACCTACACACACATGCATTGCTGTGTGACCTAATCCTGGGAAAACATGAACATAGTCCCCACATATAGGGAACCAACAACAGACTAAAATAAAGATACCACTGAAGTTCAGTTTGATGAACCAGTAAGCTTATTGGGGTTACTAATTAAAGTATGAATGAGAGATTACTCACAGAAGAAGGAATGTCTCAAAATCATCTGCATCATGGAAATCCCATTCTAATATCAGTGACAGTTCAGGAATGCCGGGACTCTGGGGCCCATTGCCATCTTGCAGGCAGCTCAACAGCTTCACAGTAGCTATGCTTATCTAGTCCAGGTCTCCAGCAGTCCCTACTGTTTATATAACACTGGGTGAGAGGGCCTTATACATCTGTTTGGTCAATTTCAAGGACTTTCTGAGTAATTTATTTCCTGAGTCTCAATGAGGCTCCTTTTAGAACTTGCTGTGTCTTGTGGAGTTTGAGAAATGATTGTGACAGCATGCACAGTACCTCAGACTAGATGAATTCCCAGCATGTTGAGGAGAGATGGGTAATTTCTATTGGCAATTGATAGCTGCTTCGGGAGGGAAGTCAGTTTTCTTCAAGGGTATAGCCCTAGCATGTCACTCCCACTCAAGCAGATTGCTACATACATATATATGGGCAGCTCAGATTGGAGTTGATGCATTTTAAAAATAGGAGGACTCAAAGTTGAGTTGCTAGGGTGTAGTAGGACCTCCTACACCACTAGGGGAGGAAATGGGAGGTGGTTCTGGGAGGAGTCATGGGAAGAGGGTGAATATGGTCAAAATAGATTGTATGAAATGCTCAAAGAATTAATTTTTGAAGAAAGGTCTAACTTTCTTTATTAAGAGTGCTTGCTCTTTCCAAGGACCAGATCTTAGTTCCCACATGGAAGCTAGGTGCTTCACAACTGCCTGTAATTCTGTTAGCAGTTGCTGTGGTTTTTCCAAATTTATTGCTATTTTAGTGTTAGAGTTTTTTAAGGGTTAACAGTTGTTCTATATGTTCTGAAATACTGTGAACTTTGCTGTAGTTTTTTGACTAAGAACAAGTTATTGTCATATGATTTTTTCCATTTTCCTGTAATTTCTGGTGCAGATGAAATTAGATTCTGTAGACATCTTGAAGCCGCTAACACTGAAAAGGAATACAATGGGCAGAATGACACACATAGACTAAACTCCAGAGAGCGAGTCCTTATCCATAGGTATCTCCAGGAGGGAGGTAAAGTACATTTTCAAAAAGCACACATGGTAAAAAGTAACATGCGGATTCTAGAACTTTCAGTGTTCTAATATGTTGCGTTACATGTTTTATTTCTTTCAGAAATGGACTTGTACGGGATTGGTAAGAATTTATTCCAGATCAAATGAAAGAAATGTTTAATTGATGAGTTACTTTACTAATGGAGAACAGGGTGAAAATTAACAATGAAGGCAATAACTGTTTTAGATTCACCTAGTTGTTCCACTTTTAGGAGGCGATACAGGGATGTTAAGCTACAGGAGACCTGAAATTTTATTAATTAAAATAAAAAAAAACGTGATCAATAAGCTAACCACTCTAGCAGCCACATTTTGTTACAAAGGAATGTCAACGGGTAAAGAGAATGAGGTAGAATATGAAGACTGTCTCCTAGAGCCTTAAGAGCCTTGTTTGGAGCACTGAACATATTTTAGTATAAAAATGCTGTACAGATTGTCACTGTAAAGATGTATTTTCAACAATTAAGGGTCTCTCTGGTTTATTCAACAGTTAAGCATCATCTTAACACCATACATATTGCAAGCCTGTAAAAGCTTACCCAAATCTATTGTAGTCCTCATATGAATCTTTCAGGGGCTCATTCTCTAATGAGAAAGAGAGAGATTAGTTTTTGTAGGGGCAGTACAGCTAAGACAGGTAAGAAAGTCTGTTCTCTTGTATTTCCCAATAAAACCTAAAATTGACCTTCATAAGCTTTTCAGAGATTTTTATTTTTTTAGTTAAGTTGTTTTTCTGAGATAGGATTGTATGTACTGTAGGCTAGCTTCCCACTCACTGTGTATCCAAGGATAACGTTAAACTTCTGATTTTCCTGCCTCGACCTGTCAAGTGCCAATACTACCTGTCAAGTGCCAATACTACAGATATGGGTTAGCACACTGAGTTTTATGTTGTGTTAGATATCAAACAGCGATTTTGTGCATGCTAAGAAAGCAGTCTGTCAACTGAGCTATATTCCCAGATCATATTTTATAAATATTTCCTAAGCTATCTCTATTTCCAAAGCAGATAATTGAAACAAATATTGATATGATTAATAAAAAGCATCAGTTTCCCATCTCTCTTTTTATGCTGGCAATTTATTTGAATTAATTCCAATTTTGTACCATATACAACCAAATATGTATCAACTTTGGTGCTATATACAATCAAATCTTAAATAGTGTGTAAAATGATGATTGCCCCTTCTAAGTAGTAAGTTTAGATAAGATGGGCAAAAGTGGTTGTGGAATTCAGTGAGAAAATCAGACACTGTGAGGGTGTTGAAAGAATGTTGTATAAAAACTCATTCTGAAAGCTGCTGAATTCACTGAGGTAAATACAGAAAATAATTTTTGTCAAAATAATATGCAGGATTCAGAAGCGGTGGTAGGGGAAGAAACATGAATTTTTTTGGACAAAGACTTTCAGAAAATCAGCCTCCACTTCATCTGGTAAGTCAACACCAAAGGTAACAGAAATCAAGAGTCTGAAATGTAATATTGTTCATTTTTAAATGTGTGCTTGTGTGTGCTTGTTTTGAGACAAGGTCTTGCTATATATGACAAACTAAGCTGACAAAGAACTTGTAATGGTTCTCCTGCCTCAGTTCTCAGAGTCCTGGGACCACACACATGTTGAGTGTCTTAATTACTTTTCTGTTCCTGTAACAAAACACCATGAGCTCACGGTTCCAGAGGGATAGCAGAAAGAGTTTATGTCTCATCCACAAACAGAGAGAGAGAGAGAGAGAGAGAGAGAGAGAGAGAGAGAGAGAGAGAGAGAGAGAGAGAGAGAGAGAGAGAGAGAGAGAACACGAGAGCGAGCAAGCTAACTGGGAATAGCATTGACTTTTGAAACCTCAAAGCCCCCACCCCGAGGTGACACATCTTCAACAAGGCAATGCCTCCTATTTCTTCCTGAGGTGGTTTGAATAAAAATGACTCCCATGAGCTCATGGGAAGTGGCACTATTAGGAGCTGTGACATTGTTAGAGAAAGAGTGTCATGCGATAGGCTTTTTAAGGTTTCAGATGTTCAAGCCCAATATGATTCTCTCTTCTTGCTGTCTGCCAATCCAGTTGTAGAACTCTAGGCTTCTTCTATCAGCACCATGTCTTCCTGTGTGTCACCATGCTTCCCACCATGATGACAATGGTTGACCTCTGAACTGTAAGCCAGTCACCAATTAAATGTTTTTCCTGAGTTGCTGTGATCATGGTGTCTCTCCACAGCAATAGAAACACTAACAAAGACACTTTCCAAGCAGTTCCAATAACTACAGACCAAGCATTTAAATATATGAACCTATGGGGGCCACTCTTATTCTAAACACTATACCCAACTAACATATTTTATAATAAGATAGTTTTAAATTTTGGTGATAACAGGGATTTCTTCTTAATATTTTTTCATACTACCCTATATTTAATTTAAATATTATGTTTTTAGTTAATCTGTTATCACTGCAACTATTTCAATAAACATTTTATTTTTATTTTCAATTTTCATTAGGAATTTTGAATTTATAAAAATGTAAAAAATAGATTGTTGGTGACTGTGTCGTTTATCTATCCTACATAATCATTCTAAATTTATCTTCAACCTTTTTTTTGAGACAGGGTTTCTCTGTGTATCTTTGGAGCCTGTCCTGACACTTGCTCTGTAGCCTCAAAATCACATTGATCCACCTGCCTCTGTCTCTCGAGTGCTGGGATTAAAGGTGTATGCCACCACTGTTTGTCTCTCCTACAATTTTGTATAGTTACAGTGTAAAAATAGACTTAAAAATTGAATGTGTAAACCAGAAATCAAGACTAGAAAGATGTCTCTGTGGTTAAGAGCCCTTGCTGCTCTTCCAGAGAACCCAAATTCAATTCTGAGTACCAATATCAGGTGGCTCACACCATCTTGTTATTCCAGCTCCAAGGGTTTTGATGCCTTTTCTGGCCTTTGTGGAGAGACACATATGTGACATCAGCCTTTCAAGTGCTAGGATTATAGGCATAATCTTACCACACCTTGTCTATATAATTATTTGTGATAGGTTTGTGCTTGTAAATAGGAAAGATTATGGTAAAGGTACTTGCCACACAAGCCTATCCAACCCAGTTGAATCTTTAGGACCGTTGTAGAAGTGGAAGGAAAAAGTAGGCTAATACAAAATTGGCTTCTGACTTTCACATGCACACCATAGCACATATACCCACACATACCACAGACACATATACACAACTATATATACATATATATAGTAGAAGTTTTATATATATATATATATAACACCTTTATGATTATTTCTTTTCTTAAGTATTTACTCTTTTGTAACAGTATTTCTTTTTTTAAATTTAGGAATCTTATAGTACCTAACTTGATATAAATAATTTCTTAGGAATACAACAGTTGGAAATGATAGCCCTGCTCATACTTAACATGCATTGTACCACTGAGCTATAACCCCAGCACAGAAAATATTCCTTACATCAACATTAATGAAAATATTGAAAATTCTGTTAAAAGGGTCTTCAGGAGATGTGCCCCAATCCTGTTTTTCATGATGACCTACTGTTCTCCCAACACTAGTCACTTAAAATGAAAAAAGTAGCATGTGTATTCTACCTACTGTACTTATTCATGTTTTCAATAGAAATACTGGGGAGTGGCTATGGATTTAGCCTTCAGAAAAATCAGCGGATTTTTTCATACTTTTATTTTATTCAAGTTGTGTATATATAATATTCTTTGTACTAGCACCTTCCTCATATTTAGCAGTTACTTCCAGTATTTAACAGTGTAATAGCAGGACACAGTAATGCCAGATATAAGGATATTTTCCTTACTAAGCAACATACGCTAGTTTAAAGCTTGCTTTCTTGTCACAGTTCATATTATGTTATTCATTTACTCTTTTGGACATCCTAGACATTTGTCAACGTTTTCATTATTTTCTTTTATGGTGTTTCACTCTACAGCCATTTTGGTAGAAAAGCTGAATTATTACCAGATCAGTTTGCTTACACTGCATCAAGCCAACACTTTGCTTCCTTTAGAGCATACTTCCCATTTGATATGGTTTTTCTCCTTAAAATTAGGTATTTTTTTGTATTAAAAGGTAGTTTTGAATGATCCCTGGACAGGGAAATAACAGAATAATTTGTAATGCTCTTCTTTGATCTTAAGAAGTTGTTTTAAGAACATTATTAAATACTCTATTGCTCTTGGGGCTGTGGAAGTACTTCAGTTGGTAGAATATTTGCCTTAGCATGCATAAAGATCTGGGTTCAATCCTCAGTACCACATAATACCAGATGTTGTGGCACATATCTTTAATCAGAGCACTTGAGGTGAAAGCAGGAGTTTCAGAAATTTGAGGTTATGCTTGGATACATAGTGAGTTCCTGGCCAGAATAAGATCCTGACTGCTCCCCCCCCCCCCAATCTATCTCCTCAATTATAAAGTCACATAGTTTGTTTCTTATTAAAAATCACAAGACACCTAATTTTCCATATTTTTATGTTACATTTGTTAATCATCTTTGTGCAAGTGACATGGTACATGAGACTTCGGTCTTTAAGTTGCATCTGGAAAATAGTATATAAAATGAGTCATAGTATAATTCTGGGAGAAAGCCACTGATAGAAATGGTTTCGAGAAGCTAGGTGTGGTGGTACAAGCCTATTGAAGTATTCATGAGAATCTCAACTTCCAGGCTAACCTATACTATATACTATATAGTGAGACTCTGTCTCAAAGAAATAAAGGGGGGAGGGAGGGATAGGAAAAGTAATGAAGGAGAGAAACAAGGGTTGTGAACAATATCCTTATGACTTAATCAAATCATGGACTATCTGTTTCATATGTATTATGTATTTGGGCTAGTTTGTAGATAAGATATGACAACAGTGAATTTCGATCAGGGTGGAATAGAAACCAATCAGAAGAGAGACATCCACAAATAGAAAGAAATCAAGTTTCCTTTGGGAGATTTCATGGCCACTCCCAATCTCATGTCCGCCACATTAGCAGATCTCATGGCCACCCCTCCAGAAGATCTTATAGCCATGTCAGGAGCACTCCTGTCAACTCAGATAGACCACATCATGACCGCTCAGTTAGACCCCATCATGAACACTCAGATGGACGCCATCATGACCACTCAGTTAGACCCCCTCATAAACACTCAGATGGACGCCATCATGACCACTCAGGTAGACCTCATCATGACCACTCAGATAGACACTATCGTGACCATTCAGGTAGATCTCATCATGACCATTCAGGTAGGTTTCATCTTGGCCACACAGGAAGAGCTCATCCTAGCCACTCAGGTATAGCTCATCAAGACCATGCAGAAAGAGCTCAACTTAGCCCTGCAGGACTAGCTCACCATGACCATAGAAGGAGAGCTCATCTTAACTGCACAAGGCTGATTCCTTACAACCGTCCTGAGAGAGCTTCTGTTAGACACATGGAACTAGCTCATCATGGCCACAGAGTGGGAGCTCATCCTAACTATACAGGGCTAGCTCATCACAACCATGCTGGGAGAGTTAATCATGACCATTCAGGGAGAGCTCATAACAACCGTACATGGAGATCTCGCAGTCATGAAGAGAGATATCGTGGTTGAACTGGAAGAGTTGAAAGAATCCAAACATCATCAGACTCTGACTCTGAAATTGACAGGTAATCAGTATGTTATCAATGTTAGTACAGTGTTTTGAATGATATGGAAATGTATAAGCATGTTTTCTATTTCTCTGTCTTATTAGCTAAATATGTCTTTTCCTAATTCAGAAATTGTTCCAATTCAGACTATTCCAGTTATATTTCTCAGGGTATCAAGAGTCATGCACATGCAGTTACCTAAGTTTGTTTCCCAGTTTCTGACCTTTCCTACGAAGCCTACTCAATAACCAAAATATGTTCACTTAGTATCTAGTTCTTTTGCATCTTTCAAACTTGTAGGCAAGGTAATGTACTGACAAATTATGTAAAATCAATAAGATATAACTAATGGTAACAAATTTGTTTCCTTCCTTTTTCTCCTTCCTAAGGAGTCCTAAGAGTCTTTAGCAGACAGTAATCTCTCTGTGTGTATGTCTGTGTCTCTTTCTTGTTGTTAGAAATCATGCCCCAAACCTGGTATATGTTAGGCAAGTGATTTACCTCTGAGCCACAACCGCCGCCCGGCAAATATGTCTTTGAGCAGCTTAGTTCCTCCATGTCCACTGTCTAACATGTGTGCTGTCTTCAGCAGGGTCATACCTTCAAGTTATGCAAGGCAAACAAAAGCAACAGCAATAGCCCACATTGTTTTGGGAGTCTCTTCTACTCTCAGTAGCAACAATTGAAAGGGATATTTCCCATTCCTAGCACTAGGCTTTTGTTAGGTTGTCTATGATCCTTGTGGGGAGCATTGGAACTTAAAATGGCACAAACTACATACGTATGTTTAAGTACATATGTTTATGTGTATTTTAAGTACATGAAACAAAATTACTCTTATGACTTTGTTAAGCATTCTTAGTGTTAATTATTGTTCCATCCTTTTTCCTCTATATTTCCTCCACGCTTTCCAGTTAAATCCCCAACCTAGTTTGTGATTTTCCCCTTCACAGCCATAGTGTCCTACTCTGCACGACTCTAGAGTGCCTCCTCCTCCCACTATTGTTCTTTCCTGGTTTCCGAGGTTACTTCAGATCATATATTCTCATCTAATGATTCAGAGGACCCCCGAAAAAGAGAGAACATGCAGCATTTGTCTTTCTGGGTCTGGGTTACCTCACTTGGTATATTTCCTAATTTCGTCTATTTTCCTAGATGTAGCATATAGCTAATAACTGACTATTTTACATTTCAGTATCATAAAGAGAATTAATTTGTAATGTTCTCCTTAAAAATGTTAACTAGAGGGCTGGAGAAATAACTTAGCAGTAGAGCCCTTGCATCCACACCAGATGTCCTAGTTGTGGTAGTTACTGAACTGGGGAGAGACAATACTGGTCACTGAGGCTTGCTGGCTTCCAGACTAGCCAAGAAAAGACAAGTCCAAATATCAGGGAGAAACCTTTCTTAAAACAATATGTGGAGCACTTGCTCCATTCATCCTGTTGGCCCTGGATCATTGGGCTACCAGCGGCCCTGTTTAGTTGCTGAGGAATCCCATCAGGACGGGTGAGTGTGTGCTATCCAGGGGCGGCTGTCCCAGAAGAGAGCACAAACCCCCTCCCCCAGCTCCTTCTGCAGGGCTGTCTTTCTTTCGCACGACCCAGCACCCCCAGCACCCCTCCCCAACCCTGCCCTGCTGTATGCTAGGACCAGTGCTCAACTACAGTCTTAAGCTCCTAAACTAAGGCGACCCACCCAGAGCAGTGAGTGCCTGCCTGCCGGGCAGGCCTCAGGGTCCCCTGTAAGGGAGCCGGGCACCTTCAGCTCCGGCGCCAGGCTTCCTGCGCGCTCCTGGATACCACCCCCCCACCCCCCCACTTGCTCCATTCATCCTGTTGGCCCTGGATCATTGGGCTACCAGCGGCCCTGTTTAGTTGCTGAGGAATCCCATCAGGACGGTTGCTGAGGAATCCCATCTGGACGGGAACGGTTCCTGCTTCTACACTGAAGAGATATACCCTGAGAGTCAATCACAGCAAAGACTGGACCAAGAGACCAGGCCTCTCCTGGCTCCATTTGAAGGAAGAGATGGGAAGGCGCCAATACAAGAATTCCTCCAACAATCTGAAAGGCAACATGACACCACCAGAAACCAGGGATCCCGAAATAAGAAGAATTGTACACCCTACTCCTGAAGAAATAGAAGAAATCGACTCAAAAGTGAACTATATGAAAATAATAGAGGACCTTAAACAGGAGGTGAAAAACTGCCATAAACAATTAGAGATTACAAACAAAAAGGTAGAAGAAATGAATAAATTGCTCAAAGACACGCAAGAAAACCAAGAGAAACAAGAAAAAGCAATCAAACAGGTCAGGGAAGCGGTTCAAGACACGAAGAATGAAATGGAAGCAATGAAGAAAGCACAAACCGAGGGAAGAATGGAGATGGAAAATCTGGGTAAACGAACAGGAATGACAGAAACAAGTACTAACAACAGATTACAAGAGATAGAAGAGAGACTATCAGACACTGAAGATACCATAGGGAAAATAAACACACTGATCAAAGAAAACAGCAAAACCAACAAATTCTCATCACAAAACATTCAGGAAATTTGGGACACAATAAAAAGACCAAACCTAAGAATAATTGGAGTAGAAGGAGAAGAAGTGCAGCTCAACGGTACAGAAAATATACTTAATAAAATTATAGAAGAAAACTTTCCCAACCTGAAGAAAGAGGTACCTATGAAGGTTCAAGAAGCATACAGAACACCAAATAGGCTGGATCAAAAAAAAAAACATCCCCTCGCCATATAATAATCAAAACACAAAATATACAGAATAAAGAAAGAATATTAAGAGCCGCAAAGGAAAAAGGCCAAGTTACTTATAAAGGTAAACCTATCAGACTTACACCTGACTTCTCTATGGAAACCATGAAAGCCAGAAGGTCCTGGATAGATGTACTGCAAAAACTAAGAGATCATGGATGCAAGCCCAGACTACTATATCCAGCCAAACTTTCGTTCACTATAAATGGAGAAAACAAAATTTTCCAGGATAAAAACAAATTCAAACAATACGTAGCCACAAATCCAGCCTTACAGAAAATTATAGAAGGAAAATCACTAACCAAGGAGTCCAACAATGCCCACAATAACTCAGTCATCTAGAGACCTTTCACCAGCGCAACTCAAAGAAGGGAAACACACAAACCCTACTACTAAAAAAGTGACCGGAGTTAACAACCACTGGTCATTAATATCACTTAATATCAATGGGCTCAACTCACCTATAAAAAGGCACAGGCTAAGGGATTAGATACGAAAACAGGATCCAATGTTCTGCTGTCTACAAGAAACACACCTCAACCACAAAGACAGGCACCTACTCAGAGTAAAGGGCTGGGAAAAGGCTTATCAAGCAAATGGACCTAAGAAACAAGCAGGTGTGGCCATACTAATTTCTAACAAAGTTGACTTCAAACTTAAATCAATCAGAAGAGATGGAGAGGGACATTTTATACTCATAACAGGAACAATTCATCAGGATGCAGTCTCAATCCTGAATATCTATGCCCCGAATATAAAAGCGCCCACGTATGTAAAAGAAACATTACTAAAACTCAAGGCAGCCATCAAACCACACACACTAAAAGTAGGAGACTTCAACACTCCTCTCTCACCAATGGACAGGTCAATCAAACAGAAACCTAACAGAGAAATTAGAGAATTAATGGAGGTAATGAAGCAAATGGACTTAACAGACATCTATAGATTATTCCACCCGAAGAGGAAAGAATATACCTTCTTCTCTGCAGCTCATGGAACCTTCTTGAAAATTGACCACATACTCGGTAACAAAGCTAACTTACACAGTTACAAAAAAATATTAGTAACCACCTGTGTCTTATCAGATCACCATGGATTAAAGTTAGAATTCAACAACAATGCTACCCCCAGAAAGCCTACAAACTCATGGAAACTGAACAGTCAACTTCTGAACCATACCTGGATTAAGGAAGAAATAAAGAAAGAAATTAAAGTCTTCCTTGAATTCAATGAAAATAAAGAAACAACATACTAGAACTTATGGGACACTATGAAAGCAGTGCTAAGAGGAAAGTTCATCGCACCAAGTGCCCACTTAAAACAGAGAAAGCACATTTTGAAGACTTAACAGCCCACCTGAAAGCTCTAGAAAAAAAAGAAGCAGACTCACCAAGGAGGAGTAGAAGATTGGAAATAATCAAACTGAGGGCTGAAATCAACAAAATAGAAACACAGAAAACAATCCAAAGAATCAATGAAACAAAAAGCTGGTTCCTGGAGAAAATCAACAAGATTGATAAACCACTATCCAAACTAATCAAACGACAGAGAGAGAATACGCAAATTAATAAGATCAGAAATGAAAAGGGGGACATAACCACAGACACAGAGGAAATTCAGAGAATCATCAGATCATATTACAAAAGCCTGTATAACACAAAACTGGAAAATGTAAAAGAAATGGACACTTTTTTAGATAAATACCATATACCAAAGTTACACCAGGACCAGGTGAACAATCTAAACAGACCTGTTGGTCGCGAAGAATTAGAAGCTGTTATCAAAAACCTCCCTACCAAAAAAAGCCCAGGACCAGATGGTTTCAATGCGGAATTCTACCAGAACTTCCAAGAAGAGCTAATACCCATACTCCTTAATGTATTCCACAATATAGAAACAGAAGGATCATTACCTAATTCCTTTTATGAAGCTACAGTTACTCTGATACCAAAACCACACAAAGACTCAACCAGGAAAGAGAATTACAGGCCAATCTCACTCATGAACATCGACGCAAAAATCCTCAACAAAATACTGGCAAATCGAATCCAAGAACACATGAGGAAAATTATCCATTATGACCAAGTACGCTTCATTCCTGAGATGCAGGGCTGGTTCAACATACGAAAATCTATCAATGTAATCCAGCATATAAATAAACTGAAATAAAAAACCATATGAT